TAAAAGCTGCTCTGTTAAGGGGGGGGTCACTAGTAACTTTCACAAAAGGGACGCAAGGAGACAAATGTTGGATGTGCTAGAGCAGTGGTTCTCAACCAGGGTTCTGGGGTCCCCTGGGGGGCCGTGAACAGATTTTAGGGGGGCCACCAAGCAGGGCCAGCCTTAGACTTTCTGGGGCCCAGGGCAGAAAGCCAAAGCCCCACTGCATGGGGCTGAAGCCCATTGCCCTGAGCTCCGCCACTCGGGGCTGAAGCTGAAGCCTGAGCAATGTAGCTTTGCAGGGGCCCCTGTGGCGTGGGGCCCCAGGCAGTTGCCCGGCTTGCTACCCCCTAACGCTGCCCTGGCTTTTGTAGTCAGAAAACCAGTTGTTGTGGCACAGGGGGGCCCTGGGGGTTTTATAGCGTGTTGGGGGGCCCCAGGAACAAAAAGGTTGAGAACCCCTGTGCTAGAGAAGAGGGCGGCAGTGGAGGGATCTGTGGTCAGAGCGACAGCCTAGGAAATTAGCTTTGAGTGTGAGCCGTCAGGGAGACGCGTGTCAAGACTGGCGCCGTAATTGAGACATGAGCTGACGTGTTTTAGCTTGTGGATGGATACGAAAGGGCGGATCTTAGTGATGTTATGCAAAAAAAGCTGCAAGACTTGCACTCAGTCTGGATGTGAGGAACTAGAGAGCGGTCCGAGTCAATGATGACACCCCGGTGACAGGCCTGAGTGACAGGCAGGGTTGTGGTGTTGTCCACTGTGGTCAGGAAGGGAGGTAGCAGACTTGTGTGTTGGGCGGAGATTAAGCGCTCTGGTTTAGCCATATTGCACATGAGCTGATGGTGAGACAGCCAGGAAGCGATGTCAGCGAGACAGGCTGAGATGTTAGTGTGTACAGAAGGAGACTGGTCTGTGAATCACCATCATAGAGCTGGTATTGTGTATGCAGATGAAATTACTCAGAGCTAGGTGTAGCGGGAGAAGAGAAGGAGCCCAAGGCCAGAGCCCTGAGGAATCCCCCAGACAGCTGAAGTGGGACGGAGGAGGACGTGCAGAAGGACTGGCTGCAGGAGCAATTGGAGAGGTGGGAGGAGACTCAGGAGAGGGTAGAGTGACAGACGCCCAGGCAGGACAAGACTTCAAGAAGAGCATGGGTGACTGCGTGCCAGGCAGCTGACAGGTCAAGGCGGATGGGTCTGAGTGTCGGCTAAGAGCTCATTACAGACGTGGGTGAGTGTGAAGTGCAAGGACCAAGAGCCAGAGTGGAGCGGAACTCCAGCCAGCGAGCGTAAACCTTGTGTTCGGTGGCCTTAGAACTGAAAGGGAACTGGGCTCATTTGTTACGATGGAAGAAACTAAAGCATGCTTGCCGGCCGCGGGAAGGCGTTGTCACAGAGGGGCACGCGCCACAGACCAGTGAGAGATTACGGAGAAGGGTAAAAGGGGGAATTAGTGTGGCCCAAGAGAGCAGACGGTCCTGGGGCTCGAAGAGGCGAGCAGATGAAAAATGTCTGCCTCTGTTCTCAGGGAGAAGGTGGCGAGAGCTGTAGGAGGCGAAGGGAAGGCAAGACGAGAGGGGGAAGGTCCTGTTATAGTTTGTCAATCTGCTCTTGGAAGGAATTGCCGCGCCCCTTTATGGAGAGAGTAGTGGAGGCAGGAGGAGGAGAGAATTTGAGGAGTGACTCAAACATGGCAAAAAGAGGGCTGAGACTGTGGGGGTGCGACTCAGGTAAGGTAGAGACGTAGCGTTGTTTAGCAAGCCTGCTGGCAGCGCTGAAAGAGGCGCGAACAGATTTGTAATGGCGTGCCTCGCTGGGCTGCTCAGGGTATTTCAGGATTTCCAGGGCTCCATGATGGAGTTTTAGACTATTCCTTGATTCAGAGCGAGGGTTGTGGGTGGCCCTTGGCTGGAAAAGCCCCTCCCCCTGGTTTGTGCATATTTCAGTCCCCTGTAATCTCACCCCAGATGGCAGCGATGCCCCTGTGACTCCTGCCCTTGAAGATACTGCAGGGGGAAGCACCGACAAAGCGCCTGAAGAAGGTACCGCTCCCCTTGGTGGCTGGAACTGGTTCTCCCATCTCTGTGCTTTCCACTTGCCTGCAGCCAGCACAGCTGCTGGGAAGGGCTCTCTTTGGGCCAGTCGGAGTCTGAACCTCTGCTGGGGTTCTGGGCTTGATGGGCTTTGGTGCTGGGATTGTCTCATGTGGGGGTTTGGCTTGAGGACTGTCCTAGCCTGAGCTCTGGTGGTGGCTGGGGGGTGATGGGCTGTGTGTGGAGGTCTCTCCAGTGCTAGAGGGACCTGGGCTCTGGCAATGGCTAGTGGGGGGGATGGAACGTTTTCTCTGGAGTGGGAGAGGCTCTAGGTACATGGGCACTAGAATAATAAACAACATTCGCACTTTGTCCATGAGGCACTTTCAGGCTGTTTGGGCTTTCTGGGCCCTGGGCACTTCCCCTGCACACACCCTGAGTTCTTGCCATGGCGCTCCAGTGCCTCACACTTGAACTCCTGGTCTTGGCCTTCAAGGCCCTTTATCACTTGAAGGACTCCGTGATTATGGCAGATGTACACTGGCACAGGAGTGCCCAGCGTGATGGTAACAAAACCTGACCCTTGCCTGCCGGGGGTGCTATTACTTCTGCATATGGCATTGCTGAACACGGTGTCCTGCTCCAGAGGCCACACTTCAAAGGGGATGTTGAAAGCTAGGAAAAGGTTCAGGGAAGAGTTGTGAGTGTTCAAGATCTGGAAAATCTGCTTTGGAGAGACTCATCATTTTCTACAATTACTTACACAGGGAACAAAGGGCTCTTAATTCTACCAGACAAAGGCAGAACGAGCTCCAGTAGCTATCAGCTGCAGCTAGACAAATACAGACTAGAAATAAGGCACAAATATTTAGCAGTGAGAGTGATTGTGCCAATATTTAATGGTGTGTGACTGTTTGAAAAGGTTAAACAGACTGACCCAGGTAATTCCTGGTTTATCAGGCTGACGTTGTTCCTAGGCAAAACAATGGGGCTGCTGATATGGGACTCGCTTAATAAAGAATTAAAGGGGTGGGGGTGTAATATAATTAATGCCAGTCAAAATGGGTTTATGGAAAATAGATCTTGTCAAATCAACGTGCTGTTTTTTTATGAGATTACAGCAAAGGTAAATGCAATAGCCAGGCTTCGGTATGGGATTTGACTTGGTACCACAGGACATTTTGATTAAGAAACTAGAATGATATATAATTAATATGGCTAACAGCTGGATTCAAAACTGGTTAACTTATAGATCTCAAAATGTAACTGGGAATCATCAAACGGGTGGGTTTTCAGTGGGGTCCTACAGTCATCAGTTCCTGGCCTTATGTTATTTAACATTTTTATCAATTATCTAGAAGAAAATGTAAAATCATCACTGATAAAGTTTGGCACAAACATTGGTGGGGCAGTGGGAAATAATGGGCACAGGTCCCTGACACAGGGATCGGGATCGCTTGGAACCTGGGCGCAAGCAAACAAGATGTGTTTTAATATAGCCAATGTAAACATGTACGTCTAGGAACAGACAAATGCAGGATCAAAGGCTGCAGCTGCACGTACTGGACAGGGCACTCAGTCCTGGGAAGCAGCGACTCTGGAAAAGCCTTGGGGGTGGCTGTGGTGGAGAATCAGCTGAACATGAGGGGCCAGTGCAATACTATGGCCCAAAAGAGCAAATGTGACCCTGGGAGGCTGTCACGGAGTTTGGGGGACTCAGGGCCCTGCACCCCCGGCTTCCTGCGATTCACCAGGACTCTCAGCCAGCCAGTAAAGCAGAAGGTTTATTTAGACGACAGGAACACAGTCCAAGACAGGTCCTGCAGGCACAGGCAACAGGATCCCCCCCCCCCAATTAGCTGCATCTTGGGGTCCCAGGGCACCGCAGCCCCCTTGGGAGGTCAGAGCCCCGTCTGCCTCCCAGCCACATCACCAGCCAGCTCTGAACCTCTCTCCCCAGCCTTTGTTCAGTTTCCCGGGCAGAGGTGTCACCTGGCCTCTAACCCCTTCCTGGGGTCTCACGTTACATGCTCAGGTATCCTCCCTTACAGCCAGTCTCCCATCCCCAATGCAGACCGTCCTAGCCACACTCCCCTGTCTTCCCAGCCAACACTCCCCACTCAGCATTCAAAGACCACATTAAGAACAGTCCCAGTTCGTCACAGAGGCATAACCAGGGGAATCCTGAGTAGGGGCAGAGAGTTTATTTTATCTCTTTATTTGGCACTGATGCAGCCGCTGCTGGAATAGTGTGTCCAGTGCTGGTGCCCACAGTTGAAGGGTGGATGAAAACTGGAGAGGGTTGAGAGGAACCGGAGACTGATTAAACAAGGGGAAAACCTGCCCTATAGTGATAAACTCAAGGAGCTCAGTCATTTTTAGCTTAACAAAGATGAAGGGTGACTTGATCACAGTCGATCAGTACCGGCAGCGGGAACAGAAAATTGCGGAAAGATGGCCTGTCTAGCAGACAAAAGTATAACAAGATCTAGAGGGTGGATGTTGAAGCTGGGCAGGCACTGGGGTGGGGGTTTCCATGAGGGCTGGGCACAGGCATTTCTGAGAGGCCCCTGAATTGTTTGAAGTCCCTGTAATCTCACCACATGTGGTGGGGCTCCCCCCGTGACTCCTGCCCCCAAAGGCGCTGCAGGGGTAAGCACCAGCGATGTTCCTGAAGACGGTACCACACTCCTGCTGGCTTGTGAGCCCCAGGGATTGGCACTGACACTTCCACGTCTGTCCTTTCCATCTCCCTGCAGCCAGCACAGCTGCTGGGGAGGGCACCTCATATGCTAGGCATATTTGGGAGCACGGCTGGAGATCTGGGCTTCTCTCTTTGTCGCGCCTGGCTCAGGGGAACCAGCATTTCCCAAGCTGTGTTGCTGGCTGGGTTTTGGCACAGTTCCTTTATGGATTTCCAGAGTCCTGTGTGGGCAGCGGGGTCTCTCGGGAAGGGAGGAAGGGGGTTCTGGGCTCTGTCAGAGGCTAGATTGGTGATGGTCATGGCCAAAGGACTGTCATACCCCCCTGGGGGTGTATGTGAGGGTCTCCCAGTGCCATTGTGTGTGTGACGGAGGCCTCGCTGTGGGCATGAGACGCTCCTAGTTGGGCTCTGGGTTTCCCTGAATTGGAAAGTGGTGGGGTGCGTTTCACAAAACACCTGAGTACGAGGAAGAACTGGAGCAGAGGCCAAGCCCCAGGGAGCAGCTGAGCCATGCTGAAGGACCGATGAGCTGGGCTTAAAGCAGCCGCATTGCTGGGGCTGGTTGTGTGCAGAGGGGGAGAATGTCCCTGCTGGAGAGGGGGGGCAGCGGGAATGGCAGCTCTGCTGGGGGCAGAGACCCTTCAAAGTTGTTTTACCAAAACCAAATAAACGGGGGGAGGGGGGACTGTAATGGGACATGCCTGTCCACCCCCCCCCCATGGCCTGCTCACCCTGTTGCCTCTGTTGCAGGTGCTGGCTGCCCACCATGCGCAGGTAAGAGCTGGGCCCCGGCCCCACACCCCAAGGATGGGGCAGAGGCGAAGAATTGCCAGGCCTCCCCTTAACACCAGCTCAGAGCAGGAGCCGCCAGGGCAGTGCCAATGGGGGGTGGTTCCTGCTTCCCTAAGGCACCATGCCAGGGGGGAGGGAAACATGTCCATGGGGTGACATGAGTTTACATGGGGGTGGGGGTGGCTGTGTGCCAGGAAAGAGCCTGGCACTGCACAGGGGGTGGGGGTGCACACACATTGGGGGTGTGCAGATTTCAGTGACCCCCTAATGGGATGGGTGGGGGATGGGGCTGCACGCTGGGATAGGATGGGGGGGGGGCAGGCTTGGTGGCTGCATGCTGGGATGTGGGCAGGCGATGGCTAGATAGTGGGCTGGGGGTTGTACACGGGGCAGGTGGGAGGGGCCTGGTGGGTCCTGTGATATTGGCACCTGTCCCTGCCCAGCCTCACCTGCTGTCTCTGTGTCCCCCTCAAACTGTTTCATGTTTAGATTCAGAAAAACAGCTGGGCTTCGCCCTGCAGACAGGTGAGTGCTCCCTGCTGGGTGGCCCTGGCCTCTCCCCCCATTCCCTGCCCCCGGGCCAACCAGCTTCTGACACCTCCGCCTCCTGCCCC